ATAGGCTATATAACATATAATCGTCGTCCTGATAAAATACTCAAAGGACGAAAATGCAGACTGCTGAACATAATATACTGTAATAGCTTCGTAGCAAATTGTCTTCAATACTAGGTAAGCAATTAATAGGTATTTAGTTTAAATTTTATTATTAGGTGCCAGAAATTACATATATGCAAGAGGGCTAGCCCGTGTGTTGGAGGATCCTGGTTCTTGTAAAGCCATCAAACTTTATTAGTATATAGCCGGCCTAAATTCATCACTTGTAAAATGTTCTTTTCTCATATTAATATATTCGCTACTATAACTTTTGATAATATTAATTGTCAAGCCTATATTAAAGTTTGCTCTTGATAGTGGAATACAACTACGTAATCAAACGGGGATTTAGTAAGTCGATGTTGCTAAAGGGAATTTCCAGTAAAGCGTTTCGATCAAGGGCTTGAATGGAATACGTTCAATCATAGATGCTATATGATGAGGTAGTGAATTACCTAAAAGCTCAGCCTTTTAGTATGAAAAAGTTGATAATGAAACGCACGCTTTACTAAATAAAGAGAAATGTTGCGCAATAAGCAAGTAAATCAATAAATATTACCTTAATAAAACAAGCAATTAGATGCTTTTAAAATATTAAAACTTAAAAAATAGCATTAAAAAATCTTTTTTGATATTATTCAACCGTAAATATTCTGGGTTTGCCACCCCTTTTGATTGGTTTCCTTCATTATTTACTGTCATGAGCCTTCCGGAAAAGCTTCTACAGAGTATGGCCATTATTTCTATGCTTATTAACAGATGCACTTGAAACATTCAATCTTTTTGATACCAAAGGTGATAGCAAGATTGAGGCAAGGCATATTGGTGAACTTGTTAGGGCACTAGGGCTTAATCCATCAGAGGCCGATATTCGTAAATGTGGTTTTCAAAGTGACCCAGGCAAGCTTTATCATATATAAAGATATGTATATCTTTTACAATTGCATGCCTTAATTACAGACGTTCTCCTAGCATATATGACCGCTTTAAAAATTTGCATTAAATCCATCGCCATTGATCACCAATACACTCCATCTCTGTATAATTTATTCATTTCCCTTTAAAATTTGCCTCAATGACGATTTATTTTCTTATTTTATATAGACGCTCGAATTAGTTTTGAAACATTCATGCCAATCTATCAAACTCTATTTCGTGAAGACAAAAAGCCAAATGCAGACGAATTTATCGACGCTTTTTGCGTATTTGATAAGGATGCCAATGGTTTGATTAGTGCAGCTGAATTACGTCATTTATTGACTGCTCTTGGCGAAAGACTCCGAGAAGATGAAGTAGATCAGCTTCTGGCTGGGATGGAAAATGCTCAAGGCTTGGTTCCTTATGAAGGTAGCAACTTCCAGCGTGTATAGTTTATTTTTTCTTACTAATTTAATTTGTTCTTTTCACTACTATTACGGTAAAGTATTTTGTCCCCAGCCATTCCCTTGCCGCTTCATATCACAACAACCTATTGACTACACCTACAGGCTGCTATTCTCATAAAGAAGCAGATAAATATCAGTAACATTTATTCTGGCTATTATGCATACTAAATACTAATGAAAGTCCTAATTTTATCCTTATATTACTTAGATGTTAGGTACTCAAACCATTAATATCACTAGTTTTCATCCTACTAATAAATGTAATCAATCAAATTTTACCATAATCTAATATTTATTAATCCAAAAGATTTTACTTTAGTATGAGTTATTAGCACATTCTGCTATACTGCCTATTATTTTGTATTGCCAATTTTCTTAATGGATTCTGCAATACAAATGACAGTAGCACATTTCTCATCTGCATGTGAAGCACTCATTTTGGTTTATTGATTTCATAAAGATGGCAAGCATACTGGCGAATAACGAAGTTGAATCTAAGTAAAGTTACTTGCTTGCATTGATCCAGAAGTTACTCAAATTAATTTTAAACTCCCTTGCCTTATATGGGTCTATCATAGCTAATATTTTTAGCGATTTAACATTTACACACGGGTTTCTTATTCTTACTTAATGATAAAGCCCACCGTGTTTTGTCTGCAAGCTTGCCAGGCTTAGCCTTGCTGCGCATGAATGGTATTGAATCATCTAACCATGTACACTTTTGTGATGCATTGCAACCATTAACAATTTACTTATTGGTGAATAACTCTAATGGAACTTGATACATTCCCTGTCGTTTCGCCGGAATCGTAGTCAGCGTTGCCAGTGAGCCCTACTATTCTTAGCACCATTTCACGCATCAGAGACGATTGAAGTCGATCCTTTGACCAATTTTCTTTTAAACATTTGTGGTGTCCTGTCCTATATTTGCCTATCTTATACCCTCGTAACACATCTTCACTATCACAACTTCTTAGTTGTTTATCTAAACCTAGTTCAGGTGTGCCATTTAATGTGGATTTAATTAGCCTTGCCGGTCTTAGCAGCACAGACCCAGGATCGAAGGTGAGATACCAGTCATTCAGCTGACAATTTCCAAAGGATCGACTTCACTTGTTGTAGTGTGGTGCTAACAATGGCAAGGCTCATTGACAATGCCGGCGAAGCGTCTTGGAGTGTACCAAGTCTAGTCCGATTCTGGAAATTATCATGCATACTATGGAGTCAAGACAATGTGAGTTCATCTTCCTGCCAGCATGATCAAGTTATGAAAGCAGGATCAAACAACGACCATACATCTAAAAGAAACTGCGGCAGCATCTTTGTCTTCTTATCTACGTTTAAACAAAAAGTTTGCTCGTATATAATATTCTGATGTTTTAAAGTTTGCTTCCGGCTCAGATCTGTGCATCATTCTATTGGGCCGAATTTATATTTTTAATTAACAGGCTACTAGTGATAAACTGGTAACGCACTCAGTTGATACATTTATCCCTTGATTACTCAGAAAAGTACCCAGAGATATCACAATATGCAGCGTGGACCCATAAATGAGCTTAAAAATCTATTGATAAGACGGCTCAATAGTAAACACCTGACGTCTATATTTATGATGGATAAGTTTTCACTATTTATTTTAAATGTATCATTAATATTTGCTTTTTAGCATGAGTCAGTTTTATATCATTACCTAAGTTTTTTATGAACCTGAAAATCCAAACAAATTAATAATAAATGATTCTATACATATATCTAGGTTTCTAATTACAACTAATACTCACTTAATTTAGATAAAATGGTTTAAGTCCAGTGCTCTGAAAAATTTATAGAATAATGGAGAAACAAGCTTTCTGGGAACAATAGCGACAAGCGGTTTAGAATAGTGCACGAGACCGAAGAGTTAGACCGTTTTAATTTACCCTCAGGGTTGGTTCGGTCTATGGTAGCTATCGACCAATGTTAATTAATTTGCGGGCCTCCGCACGCGTTCCCAAGGTTAAGCCATACACCTTTTCCACTAGATAAGTGTCCATTATTTTCTCAGCTAACTTTTTAAAGCATCAACTGTCATTCATCAAACAGATTAATGAATGGACGCCTCAAGCACTCCTATATAAAATTCACATGACAATTATTTTCAGCCTTTGTTCGCAGAGTCCTGAGTTGATAGTCGCCCCTTCGGCAGTGCTGCGATGCACACCAGCTAGCTGCGATGACGCGCACCAGCTAGCAACGATGAAGCTAGCCTCATGCTAATCAATCCGCCATTCGATGATTCCAGCGTACTGATTAACTTTTTTCAAATACATGATTTTTCAGACAGAATTATTTGAAATACCAGAGCCCCGCTTTCAATAACCTGGAGGAACCAAGGGCGTTCAAGAGGTTAGTGCGTAATTCAGGCTGGCCTTAGGCATCGAGTCGACACCTCGTACCGCCTAAAGGGTATTCTAATTCCGTTCCATGGCCCACACCAACCTTTTGGCACAACTTGCGCATTCTCAGCGTTACGGCATCGAGGATGCGAATTATAAGAATCATCAATCAAATTATGCTTTTATTTCCTATGATGGCACATGCAAGTAGCCGTTAGGCGACCAGTACCTCAGGGATATGCGCATATTAAAATATATGTACAGGGAACAAGTGAGGCGGGAGAATAGATACGGAGCAGGGCTGAGGAAAGTCAACCAAGTCTTTGTACAATTGACTCGTTTGATCGAGTGGGGAGCTAGACAAGACAGCTGTCGCAGGGAATATAATTATGCAAATCTGAAATATTGACAACAGCTTGAATCACATCTACCACAGATGACGAGGAGACCATGGCATAACCAGGATTGTAGTATACATAAACTCAAAGGGGAGTGGAGGCATTTCAGTGGCAGGGGCATGATATTAAGTTACATTGCTAGACAAGTGTGATGCAGAAATGTTGGCACATGAACGAGCTGCAAATGTCGCATGCGTTGGGGGCGTAAGCATTGCGTTCACATAAGGGCGCAGAGCCAGTGAGCAAAGCAATTAGGATGGGCACCCAAATTCGAATCCGTGGGTATAATCAATTAAGTGAAAAACACTTAAAAGATAAATTATGCTACCGAATCAAGATTTGAAGTTTCAGACAAGTAAAGGCTTGAGTCGATCCGGAGATCAAAGTAAACCGAGGGGATAAATGCGTCGATTGATTCGATTAAATTAAAAAAATGAGCCAATATTACAATAAGTCTGAAGATAAAAACAGCTCCACTTAAAAAACCAATTTGGTCGACTCAGTTCGATTCACAAAAGGACGAAAATTGTGTGGAGGGAAATACCAAAAAGATAAAGCCGTAGCTAAGCACACCGGGTCGATCGACAATGTCAGCAGACTTGAGTGGGACTAAGCCCTCCCGAAGTGGGCCTTAAGTCTTTACCGGCCGTCCCTGGTGCTCCAGTCGTCGAGGCCGCAGAAGAGGCAAGCACACTACAATCCATGGAGCCATCTGCGGGATGATTTAGGCGCTGATGCCTGGATGAAGGCCAGTGACCAGGCTTCAGGGCGGCCGCCGGAATCCCGTTATCCATTGAAGGGCTGACCGGCGGCAGAGAGTAGGATTGATTAGGGCAACAGAAGAGCTCTTTCCTCTCGTTAAGACCATCCGTGGTCTCCGAGGCCTGAGAACAGGCTAAGTGCATAGCGCCGACATCAAGCCCCTTTGTTCTTACAGCAGGCCAGCTTCTTTGCAGGCCATTAGGAGCACCATGTGGTAACTGCTTCGCGCAGTCATCGTCGACCACGCGGGTCTGCGAAGAGTAGCCTGGAAACCCGCCGTGGGCTCGGGAAAGCAGAGCCAGCGAAGCCTGTTGACAGGCACAGAGGATAAGCTCAAAATAGGTAAATGTGCATGTCAGGCCTACACAAGAAATCAGCTAATAAGCTGTTTAAGACGAGGTAGGTTTCACACGATGGCTAATGTATCTTCACTATTAATGCTAAAAAGTATGTGGCTTTAAAAACATACTCAAGCAAGATCTTAACTAACATAGGATAATCGTAAAAACTTGAGCAGCGAGATAGCCATCTATCCAGCTCACCGAAGTATGTGCTGGCAGAGTGGTTGCATTAACTTCATCAACAAAGCGTGAATTCGCACCTTCAAGGCCAATCAAGGACTTATAGTTGTGTGAATCCTGCTCCAAAAATTTGCCCAAAAGTGCCTCCGTGGGGATGACATTTGAAGTGAGAGGGTTGTCAGCAGACGCAGTGGCGAGGTACGTATCGGGAGGAGACTGAGTAGATTCATTGCCACTGGAATGGGAGTACCGGTGTGCACTTATGCGCGTCTGCAAGCCATCGCAATTCAGGAGAGGCATAGGGCTAGCTTTGCAAAAGGAGGTGGAGTGAGGCGGTAAGGGACGAGAGGTCTGTGAGTGGTCCATTTCTTCAGACAAAACAAGGTGGGAAGTGCGTGACAGACGACCAGGATGCAAGCTGGCGATACAAGAACGTAACTGCGAGGATACCCGCCATAACGGATCTATAACAGGATCGAGTTCTTCATCAGTGTAATGGTCATCAGTATCAGGAACGAAATGACCCAGTGCATCGTCATATGCAGCTAAATATGCTTGTATGGAAGGTGGGCATGCTACACGGTCAAATACAACTCTTCCACCGCGGCCTAATCGTCGACGAATATACCCCGTGTAGACATGCTGCTGCTGATGGTGGACAGGAACACTTGTTAGTCTATAACAAGTGAGGTTGTAGAGTCGATTATCCAAGATCCTGGGATCAGGCATTACATCAGTGCTGAAAAAAAGTAGTTTGGTATTATGACGAAAATAGGGAAAACATTAGTATTAAATAAGTGTTCTACCTAGGTTTGAGGTATTTGCAACCTGGTGTACGGATAAATGCAAACGGCAAGGATTTAGAGGTATGATCCTCCTCAAGATCTACATCGGTAGCTTCATCAGAGCTTATGCCACGAGGACATCCATGAGGACGTCGAGACAATTTGCGTTTTCGGTTTGATCGTTTCCTCGGAGTGTCCTTTAAGAGCATATATTAAAGAGTACAATTACCTTAGATACACGAGAATTAGATGTCGAATCAACTGAAAACTTTTGACATCGACGCGCTAGCAAGTTGGCTTCGGCAAGTTTGGATGCATCCCAGTCGGAAGCCAGGTACCTTATGTTAAAAACATCTTTCTCGTTTTGAACCAACAGCCCCTTAGTGGTTTCGCGCTTGACGAGACGGCTAACTATTTCTCTAGAAGAGACAAAGTTTAAATAATAATTAAGCCTACCCTAAGACATTCATTTGCTCACGAAGAATAAGCATTTTTTCATAAGATTGTTCGTCATTCTTTCTATTTTTTCTGGTCTGCATGCGCTCTGTTCGTCGCCGGAAAGCGACATATGGATCATTATTGCTTCCACCATCCCGCCTTTCTTGTCGAACACTTAGCAACAGCGGCTGTCTACTCTGGACCCTTTTATTTAACCAGTAATCGTAGACAGCAATGACCAGGGCCGGATCATCTTGTAGGAGACACTTCGCTTCCTCTAGATTCATTACCTATAGAACTGAACATTAGGATAGGTATTAAACCTTCTGTCCACAGCCTCTCTCCAGTTTGTCTATCATAGCTTCGAATTTATCCGGAGAGACAGCAAGGTCACTTTTCCGAAGCCATTCTTCATCTTCGGTATCCATATCGTATTCAATAGGCTCTTCCTCTGCCAGGACAATAGCTGGAAGATAAACAATGGGGAAAAAAAGCCTCACTTCTGATGTGGATAAATTGCTTAGGTGGGACGTATCCATTGGGGTAGAGAACCGCGTGACTGGCATATTGATCCACGATCTCGGGAACAGGAATAATGACATCTTCTGACTTATGATTCTGCAGTGCCTGGAGAACTTCAAGAAAATGATGCTCCTAAAACGGAAAAAAACAGCTGATAAGAGGGGAGGACAACTGGCCAATCAGAGCAAGGCACATAAATCGATTAATCAATAACAGACGTGGACTGACGGAAGATATATATTTAAATTTGAACGAGAAAAATTTGTTATAAGGACGTATCATGGAAATTAAATTTACATTTTCCTCGTCTTTCTCCATCCCACTCGGAATCTGGGGCACCCCTCGATTGACAAGAGCATTCTCGCTAATTTCAGAAAACAACTCAGAGTCAAATGTAAGAATTGGAAGTGGTTTGTTGAAATCGATCTGTCGAGCCCGAAATGAGACTTTACTCATATCTAAAATAAAATGACCGATAATGCCCGGTTAGTTGGATTTCTTTGGGGGGCACCCATACGTAAGTACCGAGAAATAAATACACAAAGGCGAGAGTGGTTTAAATTTGTTTAAAATTAAGTGACGAAAATCATTTATCTTCCGGAAGAGAAGCAGCAAGCGTACCTCGGAATAGAAATCTGTCCTAGGCCACAGGCAAGATGGCGTCGGACTTGCGCAGCAGGTTCAATATGGCGGCACCGAGCCTTATATACGTCTAGCATGATGACAGGACACGCGACGACCAAGAACAAAGCAATTAAAAGAAACACTTTTTTAATTTACTAAAAATAAATACTGGGTTTAAGTTAATTTATTTAATTCGATATTAGTTTATTTTGATTTTTGCTTTTAATAATGTTTTATTCTAACATTAAAAAAAATTTGAAGTTGAGCTTAGCTGATAAACAATAAATATTCAGGATTAGAACTAAGTTACAGCTTGTTAAACAGGCGACCTAGGTACTGATAATGGCAGGTTTTCACTAATGATGCCAAAAAACGTCTGGGAATGTACCAAGTCTAAGTTCCGACGCTAGGAATGATAATCATTAGCACAGCAGAGGACTTTGGACATGCTAAGTACAAATAATTCTCCCTCATAACAAGAACAAGTTGTGAAAAAGATCAAATCTTTACATTTAAAGAAAATTGCGGCCAAAATAGTCACACAACTTTAGATATACGTTTAAAATAATTACAATTATGATCACAGTCTAGACTGCTAATTTTTCTATTAATTTGTCTGGGGTATTCCTTTTTCGTACCCTTCTATGGCAATAAATATAAAATACTTTTTCAGCATTGACAAATTGTCTCTATCCTGAATGTGTTGTATGACGGTAAACACATTCAATGTAGGACAACTTATATAAAACTTTAATCTAATTTTGTCCTTTAAGAACAAACAAAAGTTTGAGAGTATTTGCATGTCTAAGATGGCAAAAGAGACGGAACTCTCTTGATTCATAAGCAAAATATATGTACGTTATTCAAGGTATTAATGTTCACTGTGATAAATAATTGTTAAAAATTGTTTCTATGTGAACTGTGTGTAATTTTTTGCATCTCTTGTAGATAGTTGAAGTCTTCCTTTATGTGAACTTTATTTTTCCAATTATATTTTTAATATAAAATATATTTATGAGAGGTGGTTTAACTTTTTTACCAAGCTTATTCACTATATAAGTAGTTTGACTTCGTTTGTTCAACTTGGTAGTGTTGTCAGGACGACCTAGTTAGATACGCCATGTACTAAGTCCTCTGCTAGAGAAATTATAATAATTACCAGTATGGGACCATGGACTTAACACATTGCCAGAGATTGAACTCGAAATTTAGTTGGCATCGTCAGTAAGTCTTTCCATTTTTAATACTAAAATAAAATTCGTCTAGTAGACACGTTGTGTTATCACTCCTAGTTGTGTTCTGGAAGATTTTCCTACTCCCTACCCTCGTACTTCATCCCACCCCTTTTCATACCTGCTGTTAACCTTGGTCCTTTCTGCCCGAAAGGCTGATTCAACTCGGACATCCTATCCAAATCTCCCTTACGGGCACGTAGATTCATTTATTATCCCAATGGTTGATTAATTTTGCTTGATTTCCGTCCTAGAATACATTTTACTCTAGGCGATATTTCTCAAACATATAGTAGAACGTACACTTTCACCTCATTGAGCAGAACACATAAACTCTGATTATCATGCTTGCAGAAATTAAGCATCGTCTTCTCAGTTGATCTCCTTGATTCAACCTGTGAACCCTAAGCAAGCTGTGAACTTCGTTCCCTGGTCGCCTGCTGCACTTCGAATAGATATCTAGTCGATTTTGTCATAATGCCAAATTTCGGTGAGGATTGAGATTATTACTCTCTCTAGTCCCGTGACCACCAAGCCCCCAACTTTATAATTGTTTCTTCGATCAGAATACACTCCCTGAAAGCGTCTTTTATTGAGTTTCGAAACTTTCCTATCCGCTTCATTCTTATGATCGCTTTTCTTCAAGTTTACGATAGGTCATTTTTTTACAAGCATATCCTTTTTTATGGTCCTGCCGTATCCTTGTTTTCTCCAAGTTTACTTAAGCAATTAGCAAAGTAATAGCTAATTCTGCTTTTTTTCAAAATCCTGTTCATTAAATTTTTTACGGCAAGGATGCCAATGGCCTCTCTAAGCTTTCATTTCCTTGTATTTTATTACGTACTTTGTTCTGTTGCCCTATAAATGATCGCGTGTCCAGTTGTTATAATATGTACCACTGTTTCTGATCTTCCGGTATCCATTTTAATGCAAATCCGTTGATGATACTTGATTCGTATGTTGACCCTTCACCAATATATTTCTGTTTGCATAGCCGCATATTCTGCAGTATGCTCCCGAACAAGCAAATATCTCGCCCTTATCATGCTACCTAGGCGAACGAAGTAAAGTGTTTCTTTCGTGGTCAACTGAATATTCCTATTTCTTAATATTTGCCTAGAGAAACTAGGCATACCCACTTTTATGAGTCATTCTTTACATTTTTTTCATAATCGCTGCACTGTCAGCAGCTTTCCAAGGCAAGTATATATTTTAATAATACTAATCTAGAGTATCCTCTACTGAGGAAAATCTAAGTCAATTTGACATTTATTCA